AAGTGGAGGGTCGGCCGTTTGGTGCTCCACTTCTCTCCCAGCGCAAAACCCCTCCTCCACACACTTGCTTTCTCTTAGTGTTGTTGCTTCCCAGCGCATCCAGGGACTCATCTCTGGATCCAGGGGCTTGAGGCTCCCACTCTGGCCATGGACAAAATGATCTTCCTGGCAGAAAAAAACAGAGAAAGATGAGCAGGCTAAAAAGACCCTCCTCCACCCCACAAGTATAGCCAGAAACAAACAAATCAAAAAAAAAGGAGGAATGGAAGAAAGAAAACTGGATACAAGAGGAGGAACCCTCCCACCCCAAATTAATTGACCATAGGTTTGCAATTTGACCCAATTGGAAAACCAGGATTTACTAAGATAATTTATATGGCAAAAGATAAAAGGAGGCTGATTGGCTTTTGGCCCTCTAAAACATAGGTTCTGAATTAACTTTAATGTCTGCTAAGATGCACCAGTTGGCTAACCTTCATGGATTCAATACCAGGGCTCCAATTATGGTTACACCTAGTAAAATAACCATATTTTCTAGCTTCTGTATTTAATGCTTTGACATCTCAGACTTGCTGACTTTGGAGGGACTGTCCCTGGCAGGCTTAGTTGATTCCTAGAGATGGTCAACAGCTTGCCTGTGAGCACACCTTTCACATCTAAACCAACCAATACAGAGTCTTTACACCCCAACCACCTCCTCCAGGAAGCTCTTACACTTAGGCCACTATCCCCTGCCCTGATCACCCCAGGGGCAGAGACAGATTACTCCAGACACCACTATGGCCTGGAGCCCACTGAAATTATTCAAACTAGCCAGTCTTAAGCCTGCTTACCCTGCCTCACCTGTCCCTTCCCATGGAAACCACAATAAAGGGTCTTGCCCACATTTTCCCTTCATTCCCTCTTTCTCCTGACCAACCCTGGTGCTTCCCTGGGAGGCCCTCCATGGCTCTAAGGAACTCCTTTCTTGGGATCTGTGAGTCTACAAAACTTCATCCATTGTGACAGTTACTTCTATATCTTCCTGGCGCCCTTAAAACATCTGAGACCCCTAGGGGTGCCTGGGTGGCTCAGTCTGTTAAGCTTTTGGCCCAGGTCATGATCTCAGGATCAAGGGTCAAGCTTCCTGTTGGGTTCCTTCCGCAGGGTGGTGTTGGCTTGAGATTCTCTCTCCCTCTGGCCCTTCCCTCCCCCTGCCCCCGCTTGTGCTCTTTCTCTCTCTCTCTTTAAAATAAATAAATAAAACCTTAAAAAAAAAAACCACCCTGAATCCCAGTAAGTTTAAAGATGGTGTTATTTTGCTATTATAGATTTTCCAGTATGTTCTGTTTAGTGCCTATTTCAACATCCTCTCAGTCACATGTGACTTGACCTTGTACGGGACACGTTTTACCTTGTTATGCACAGGGCACCCAAACCTCTCTGCTATCACTTGCAACCTTTGCGGGCAGGATCTTACTACACCCATCTTTCTTCAGGAACATAGGTATGACATCACATTATGACATCCTACTGTGAGGACATTTGTTTGACACATTTGTTAAGGACATACAAGTTCAGGGGCACCTGGGTGGCTCTGTCGGTTAAGTGTCTGCGTTGGTTCAGGTTGTGATCCCAGGGTCCCGGGATCCCTGCTCACTGGAAAGCCTGCTTCTCCCTCTCCCTCTGCTCCTACCTGCCCCTTGTGCTCTCACTCTCGCGCTCTCGCTCTCTCTCAAGTAACTGAATAAAATCTTTTAAAAGAAAAAGGGACATGCAAGTCCTACATCTTTCAGTATTTTTTTGGGTTCTGGAGGTGACATATTCCTTGTCTATAAATTTTACATAAGCCCATTTAGGCTGTTACTTGTCAATGAGCCCACATTGGGTGGGGCTCCCCTCAACAAAAGGCTTTAGGATCTGTCCAAGTTAAAATCACCTGTGAGGGGGCGACAGGGTGGCTCAGTTGGTGAAGCGTCTGCTTTTGGCTCAGGACATGATCTCAGGGTCCTGAGATGCAACGCGTCATGGGGCTCCCTGCTTAGTGGGGAGCCTGCTTCACCCTCTCCCTTTGACCTCCTCCTCCAGCTCGAGCTCTCTCTCAAATACATAAATAATATCTTTAAAAAAAAAAAATCACCCGTTAGTGCCCTAAGTGAAAAGGCTTAGGCAACCGCCTCTCCAGTTTCCTGCAATCCCTGGACCACCCATGGTATTTGTAAATTGTCCATGGGCTCCCAATGCAAGAAACGGCCCTCCTTGGCCCTGGGTTATACACCACGAAAGGAGAAATTGCTGGCCATGCACTGGGCTCTCCTGGAAACAGAGTCTCTCACAGACTCTGAGCCTTCATATCCCACTGTCTGCTATTCCTTGGGTCATGATACCCCCACCAGCTTAATATAGTTACCCAGACCTTCTTGCTACAGGCTGAAGCCAAAATCTGCATATCCTACCTGCAGGTGGGGGTGGCTGCTTCTGTCCACAGTTCATTGTCAGATTCCGTGGTGCTGGAGGACGTAAGCCTTTCCTTCTACCTCTTGGCTACCTAAGGATTCCCTTGGGATCAAATGAGTAACCATCAATGGCAGTTGATACATTTTGGTTTTGAAGACCAACTCTCCCTCCTGGTCATGTGACCATTTCACTTTCTAGAGAAGCACTTGTCCTACTCCTTAAAAGTCTCAGTCCCAGGTTGAAATCAGATACCGGAGTCCACTGTGATAGAAAACCTGAGATTAAGATTCAATAGGAAGTAGGGGCGCCTGGGTGGCTCAGTCGGTTAAGTGGCTGCCTTCAGCTCAGGTCATGATCCCAGGGTCCTGGGATCGAGCCCCATGTCGGGCTCCCTGCTCAGGGAGATCCTGCTTCTCCCTCTCACTCTCCCTCTGCCTGCTGCTCTTCCTACTTGTGCTCTCTCTGTGTCTCTCTGTCAAATAAATAAATAAAATCTTAAAAAAAAAAGATTCAATAGGAAGTGTTGTCTTGGCATCAGGGAACATCAGAGAGCCTCCAATGGCCTCATTCAATGTTCCCTTCCCCCTCTGCTCCCACAGATCAGGTCTCCTGGCCAAACGACCTTCCTTATCCCAGGGACCAGGCACAGTTTCTCCCCAAGGAGTAAGGTCCATTTCCCTGACAGTGTGTGCAATTATCCAGCAAGTCAATCATTCCCTCCTGCAGGAAGTAAGGCTCACCTTCACTCTCTGGTTACTACAAGGTCTGCCCCCCCACAGCCCTTGTTCATTCTGATCCCAGGTAAAACCCCCTTGTGACCCTGCATGGTGTGGGCCACGAGTAGACATGGGTAATAAATTAGTGTCGAGCTCATCTGTTCAGCATCCGGACATCCCATAACTTTAGGGTGGGAATCACTCCCTTTACCAACGGGTGAAGAGGAGAAAAATGAAATCCTTCCGCTCTGTACCTTTGTCCAGGCACAATGATGAGGCTCATGCACTTGGAAGTTATTTGGATAATAATGTATTTGGGGCTTGTAAGAATTCATCTGGGGCTAAAGGGCAGCCTGTATGTGAATGATGAGCAGGAGGGAAGGCTGCAAAAGCAAGGGCTTGGATGGTCTCTTAAAGGTCAAACTCCAAGCAATGAGGGAACCCCCAAATAATGGCAGCAGGGAAGTAACATCAGATTTTCATCTCAGTTTGCCCCGACAGCAGCGTGGAGAATGGATTCAAAGGAGGCTGAGAGTGGAACCAGCAAGATTGGTAGGCAGTCTACTGCACTAGTCTGTGCAAGAGACAGGAATAGATGAGAGCACTGGCAACAGAAATGGAGGGAAGGAATGAGGTCTTTAAAGAAGTCTGAATGGGGGGCGCTGGGTGGCTCAGTCGGTTTAACGTCTGCCTTCGGCTTGGGTCATGATCCCAAGGTCCCGGGAATTAAGCATTACATCGGGCTCCCTGCTCAGCAAGGGACCTGCTACTCCTCCCTCTACCACCCCCTCCCCGCCTGTGCTCTCCTGCTCTCTGTGTCAAATAAATAAAATCTTTTTAAAAAAGAAGATAAGAAGTCTGAATGAATTGTTTCCAGAGTACAATGGAGCAATTAGCCTTGAACTACAAATGAAGATTTGGAGTGGCTTTTGAGGAAATGAACAAGGGAGTGGACCGTGGACATTTTGGGTAAAAACTGCTTAAATGTTAATCGATAGGAGCTAGTTAAATAATTTAGGGTTGATCCATAAACTTTGGGTTTTCATTTAAAGAATTAGATGGAATTCATTCACATTTCTAAAGATCTCTAAAGCAGAGTGAATAAAAAAAAAAGCAAGTCACAGGATACTATACTCCCAAATAGACAAATATACATGTATTTCTAAAAAGCTGGAGCGAAATCAGGTTACCCATAGAGTGGTTTCCCAGACAACAGAAAAGGAAATGATAAAAAATATATATAAAATAAAAAATAAAAAAAAGAAAGAGGAATGGACTTAGCTGGGAAAACCGAATTGCATTTTTTAAAAAAATTATATTCTTGTCCAGTCACGCTATTCATCTCATTTCCCATACAAGGAGTGTGTGCTCCTGTATTTGATAAGTTTGGAACATTAAAACAAGTTGATGTGTTCCTTACCCAAGATATATGTAGATACCTGCTCCTTGTGAAAACATTAAAGCAATACAAACAATATTTTAAGTATCCTTTGACCACAGCCTCCAACCTCACCAATGTCTACTCTCATAAGAAGTTACCATTGTTGGGACACCTAGGTGGCTCAGTCAGTTAAGCATCTGCCTTTGCCTCAGGTCATGATCCCAGGATCCTGGGAACGGGTCCCATATCAGGCTCCCTACTCAGTGGAGAGCCTCCTTCTCTCTCTCCCTTTCTGCTCCCCCGCTTGTGTGTTCTCTCTGTCAAATAAATAAATAAACTCTTAAAAGAAGACACCACTGTTTTCATTTTGGTGAATACTTCTGTAGTCATTAAAAGATCCCTTTTTCTGTTAAGTCATAAAAGAATATTTTTATTAAGCTGAAAGCAAAACTGCAAATATATTACGTTTTGCAAAAGGACATTTTGGGATAAGGTAAACACACAGAGTGACTTGGGGTCTTCCGAGCACTGTCTCATCTCTGGCTTGAGAATCCTCTATTTCTCTGAGAGGCCTCTGGCCGCCATTCCAACCTTCTCGGCAGGTGACAGTATTTGGGGTGCGTACGTGGGCAAAGCATCAGTGACGGCATTTAGAAGAAGGTGCTCCGATCCATCCGTTTCCGGTCCAGGTGGGCTAATAAGAGACACAGTTGTGGTGCGGGGCTTCACATCTTTTTTCCGGGATGTGGATGCTAGGGTAGTGTTCAGACCTGCTGGGCCTTGTTTCATAGCCAGTTTTCCCCTTCCTCCGGAATCTGGGGGCTTCACGTCATGAGCAGAGGGCTTTGGTGGTGGCAAAGCTGAATGAGATTCCGCTTCTAGAAACTGGACGAAAAGTCCTGAAAAAAATTCTTGGCCATAGGTCGGTGATTTGGCTTCACAGGTGTGTTGGGGGCGCTTTTGGATCCAGGCCCCCGACTCATCCGCTGGTAACACCACCTGGCCCTTCACTGAACAGCTGCCACATCTGGTCTTCTCGAATCCCCAGCATGCTTCCCATCAACCTTAAGGCTTCCTGCCGTTCAGCGTCAGGGGCTTGGAAAGATCCCAGGAAGAGTCTCCTTAGTAGGGTTTTGTCCACCATTCCTTCGGACTTACTGACCAAGTTCATCAGTTTCTTCTGTGTGTCCTCCAGGATTTCCTGCTGGACCTCATTCTGTTTCTGGAATTCTTGGAGTTGGTCTTCCTTCAGCTCCAAGTCAGCATTTGTTTTATGTAATCGTCCCTGCAATGACTTCAGTTTTCCTTCGAGGCTGTCTGCCTTTTCCATCCATTCGGCGAGTTCCAACTTGAGGTCAGCTAGGATGTGACCATACTGCTTTCCTTCTTCCTGTGAGGCAGCAAGCTGGAGCGCGGTGTCCTCTTTCTGCTGGGTCACCACGTGCAGTTGCTCCTGCAGCGACTCTACCTGCAGACTGGCTCCTCGGCTGGCATTTTCCATGGCAGTGGAAGACAAAACGAGTCTTCCCTGCAAGACCGTCACTTCCTTCCTGAGTTGAGCCACTTTGTCTTCTGAGGCCAGAGCTTCCCGGCGATGAGCGTCTTCGGCTTCTAGAGCGAGGTGTCGCCGTCTCTCCAGCTCCTGGGTTAGGCGTAATTCGCTCTCACGTAAATGGCGAACCTCCTTCTGGAGGGCACAGGTTTCCATTTGTTTCTGTGTCAGGGCCAACAGGACTTCATCTCTCCCCTGTTGGCACAGAACTGTCTTTCCCTGCATTGATGGAACTGCACTGACCGGCCGGTTCAATACCCCGGTCTCGTGCTCTTCTCTCTCTTGCGATAGTTGCTCCAAAGCAAGTGCCTTCTCTTTCATCGCAGCACCCTGGGATTCCTCCTCTCTCCGCATCACTGAAAGCAGCCTATCTGTCTCTTGCAATGCCTCATCTCCCACTGCCTTTTCTCGAGAGTTTTCCTCGACTTTTGCATTTTCCTCTCTCGGTTGACACACATCCATTTCCAACTCTGCTATTCTCTCCTTCAGATTGGTGACCGTCTGCCTCAAAAGTTCATTTTCACTCACTTGGCTACGGAAGTTCTCCTGCAAAGAAAGCAAGTCCTCACTTTTCGCTTGGATTCGGAGCTCCTGATCCCGAATGAAGTTTTGTAGAACGGCCTGTTTCTCCTTCAGCTGCTCGATGTCGGAATCCCTGTGTTCCTGTTCTGGGCCTTCTCCTTCCCACGTGGCAGCCACTGAATCAGTCCATCTCTGCTTATCTTCCTGGAGGGTTCGAATCATCCTATCTTTTTCTTGCATTGATTTTCTCAGCTCTTCTACCTCCACTTGGAGCAACTGAGAAGCCTCACCCACTCTGTCAAATTTCACGGGCTCCAGAGAGTCCGCTGACTCTGAGCAGTCGGGGGAGGGCTCGAGGAAAATCACGTCCAGTTTCCCTAGAAGGAGATCCTTGGCATTGCAAAGCTCCCCGATGCTGAGCTGAATTTGTGCCAGTTCCTTCTCTAAATGTTGTAATTTTATTTCATTGCCTTTGTACGTCTGCATCAGGTCACTAGAGGTCGTCGGTAGTTCAGAATCCTTCTCGCTGCTGGTGAAAGCCCGCGCCTGGAATTGTGCCAGCTCTCTCTCAAGCTGGGGTGACTCACGCTTCATATTTTGGACTGTGGTCATCACCTGCTGTTTCCACTCTTCCATGATCTTCACTCGCTGTTTTAATGTGTCCCGTTCCTGTAGAAGCTGCTTGAACTGATCCATATGAACGCCTCGAACCTCATTACCAGGGCTGGAGGGTTGCAGGAGTGTCAATAAAGTCTGACATTTCTGACTTAACGCATCCACTTCGAGGTCTTTTTCTCGAACGATGTGTGATAAATTCTGAATCGTTTCTCTAAACATCTCCTGACCTCTACTGTCAATTCTAGTGGACAGTTTTTGATTTTCCTCTTGCATCCGCCGGAGGTCTGCTTCTGTGGCAGCCATCCTATCCGCCATTCTGTCATACTCTGTCCTCAGATTGCTGTTCTCCCTCGTTTTCTCATTTAAGACCGCCAAGACCTGTTCGCTTTTCCAAGCATACTCTTGCAATTGCCGCTGAAGTCGCTCCACGTTCTGGCTGTGAGAAGCCGCAGAGATCCTGCTGGAAAGACCCTGAATCTCCAAGTCTTTCTGCTGGATAATCTGAGTTAGTTTACCAATCTCCTCTTTGGAGAGCCGATCGATCTGTTCCGTCAGTCGGATGTTCTGTTCAGTTAGAAGCTTCATCTCCAGTTCGTGTTCTTTGATTCCTAGGACTGATCTTTGAGTTTCGGCTTCACGTGAATCAAGCTTTTCACTTGCGTTTTGTCTGGGAAGAGGCTGACTGGTTGGGACTTCCACATCATCACAGTCTTCTGTCGGAATGTGCTGGCTTTTGTCAGGCAACCGGGCTTTCATTTGTTCTATCGTGTCCTGCAAATGCTGAATCTCCTCGTCTTTCGCTGAAAGGAGCTGAGCGTGTTCAATATTCATCTGCTCCTGCCGGTATTGGAGCTGCTCCACTTTCTGCTTCTGCTCTTGTAAAGAATGAAGCAGTCCTATCTTCCCCTGCTGCTGGTTGTGAATGATCTTCTGTTGCTCTCTGATTTCCTCCTCGAGATCATCCTTTAACTCCTGGAGTTGAAACACCTCACACTCTAGTTCTATGATCTCGTCTAGGATTTTAGGGTTGAGCGCAGGAACAGAGCGACTCTGTTGTCCTAGGCTCTCCAGTTCTTCTCTCAGGTGAGGATTTTCGCCTGTCACGGATGGGAGACACCTGTCTTTGTCCTCCACGGATGGCTGGGAAATGTCATTGCTTCTGAAGGTTTGCGTAGACTGACCGAATTCCTCCTGAAGCTCTGGACTTCCTGTAAGTTCTTCAATATACATCTCTTTCTCTTTAACGAGTTGTGTCAATCGCTTCTGCTCCTCCAGAGCAGAGGACAGCATTTCCTTCGTTTCTTTATGGTCGGCGTCCATCTGCTCGATCCTCTTTTTGAGGTGTACTATTTCCAGGTCTTTCTCTTGACTGTGTTGAAGGAAATGCACATGCTCTAAAGGGGACAATTCTTTGATAGTTTGCTCATCCTTGTTTGTTTCCTCCAACAGCTTCTTTTCCGCCCGAGCCAATTTTGCTATTAACCGTCCTTTTTCTATTTTTAAAGCCCTCACAGCAGTGTTGTTTTCCAGAGAATCCTCGTTGTTCCGGAGAACAGATTCTTCCAGCTGATGTCTTATATCCTGGAGCGCCAAAACCAACTTTTGGTTTTCTGCTCTGAGATCAGAAGCAACGTTGTTTAAACGGTCATTCAGCCGCTCCATTTCTGCAAGTTGTTGCTTCAACCTTCTAAGCTCAGTTTCCCTTTCTTGAAGTAAGTCATCTTTCCCATGACTGGCAGACTCTTGATGTTGCAGGTCTTCTATCCGTCTTTCATACTCGAGGAGTTGTTTGCGGTGCCTGTCAGTGATGTCGGCCAGTTTTTCTTGATGGACACTGTGCAGTATCGCACATCCGAGTTGATGTTCCTCGATCTCCCTCATCCGCCTCTCTTCTAGGTCCCTGATGGTGCTCTTCAGTTTCCAGATGGCATTGGAGTCTGAGCTATTCGGTCCCTTGGACAAATGTTTCCAAAGTGTAAGATCAGCCTCCAGTCTTTGGATCTCATTGAGGAGTCTATTGATTTCTGTCTGAGATGATATGACATCACCAAAGTCCATGGTGAGATCCGAGTTGGAGCCGGTCAAGGAAGTCTCACTGCCATCCACTCCTCCCTGGGAATGGCCTAGGCCAGAGCCCAGGCCACCAACCCAGGAGCACATCTTCGCGGGTCATATAACTGTCGCGGTCCGCTGTGGAAAAGCGTCCAGCGCAGTCGGACTACCCCGCCAAGTGTCCCAGAACGCCTGCTTGCGCCAGGCTAAGAATCAGAAGACAACAGGCGTTTCTAGGCAAACGCTTGCGTGGGCCCGGCACCCGCCTCCCCTGCGCAGGCCACGTTGCTAGGAAAGCCCGAGACCTTGGGCCTTCCCAAGGCCGACTCTGGCCACCGGTCCCGGTCCCAGCCGCTCAGCCCCACGACTTCCCACGCAGGGCTGGGCCCCTTCCCCTGTTCCCCCTGCTTCCTGGCTGTCCTGGGTGGGCCCCTAGCGAGTGCTCCTGCCTGACTGCCCCCAGGTGCCCGCCCACAGAAAATGCATCTGGCCCTGGACTTGCCCCCTAAGTGGTATCTCGGTGCACAACTCCTGCGGCTTGTGCTTTGCACACAACAGTATCTTTTTAATCGAGGTGAAATGTACACAGTCACACGCATCCATCCACCTAGGAAAGCAAATCCTAGGTGCATTTGACAAATGTCTACACCTGCGCAGAGGCACGGCCCTCAAGGAGACTCTGGGCATTTCCAGCGTCCAGAGCCTCCAGGGTGCCCTGTCCCTCCCTGCCCCGTCAGCCCTGCGGGGACAGCGCGTCCCAAAGCCGGATTTGGCGGTTCCGTGGCTGCCGCATGCGCCGCCCTTCCGCCGCCTCCAGCCCGTGTGCGGCCTAGGCGCGTCAGGCGGTTGCGGGGGCGGCTGCGGGGCCTGGTCAGGGGGTCCCCTGGCCTGTACAGGGCGGCCGCTGTCTCGGGTGGCGGAGGCCCGAGTGGGCACCGCGTCCCCGGCCTGGCGCAGGTCGACCCGCCGCTCCCGCACTGACCCGGCGGGCGGCGCCGCTGGAAGTGACGCGGCGAGGGCGGGGCGCCGGCCTGAGAGCCGCCGCCGCCTGGGCCGGGAAGCGATGTAGCCGCGCCAGGCCGTCCCCCGAGCTGCCCGGCCCGAGCCCCGCGGGCCGCCGCCGCCACCATGAAGAAGCAGTTCAACCGCATGAAGCAGCTGGCCAACCAGACCGTGGGCAGGCGAGTGCGCGGATCCGGGCCCGCAGGGAGTGCGCCGGGTGGCGGCCGGGGTCGCGCCGGGTGGGGACCGGCGTACGGGATCTGAGCCCGGAGGGGTGAAGGGGCCGGGCGCTGGCGGCCCGGCTGCTCTCCGGGTCGCCAGCTCCGGCCCCCTGCCGCCGCCCCGCACCAGGCACGCGGGGTCCGGGCCGGGGGCTGCGCCACGCCGAGGCCTGAAGCCCGGCTCGGAGCCGCCGCCGGAGCTCCCGGGAGCAGCGGGGTGGGTCGGCCTCCCAAGACGGCCCCGGAGCGGGTCCCTGCCGCCCATTGTCCCGGCCCCGCCGAGCACCGCCCTGGGGGAACTGGACCGAGCCTTCCCCTGCCCTCCTCCGGGGTTTGCTCTGGGCGAAAACTCGGGTAACCCGTGAGCCCGAGGCCGAGCGGACGCTGTGCTCTGCGGGCGATGGCCTCAGGCTTTCCGGGTCGCCCCGCCGCTGCAGACCCTCCACCTCCCAGTGCCTCATGGCACTAAATAAGTAAGGGGCCATCAGAGCCCATCGGACCCGCCTACGAGGTTCGGGCGTCCATCCAGGCACTGTAGAGGTGCCGCTGTCTCCAAAGCCGGGCCCCTGTGGACCGGACTGCCCAAGACCTTGACATTGAGAAATTGGGAACTGCGAGGAAAGAATTGTGGAAACGCCTTGGGACGACTTTTAGTTCAATTTTGAATAGCTTTTGAAAAAGCCTTTCTCCCTTTGGATTTGGGAGCCGATTCTTCTCCAGGTTTCTTTGGGGCTGCTTTAATGCTTGACAGGAAACATGATCGATTATGAAATGACAGAATAGACAGGAATTTGTAGACCATCAGGCTGTTGCAACAGGAACCATTGGTGGTTTTGAGAGCTCCTGGAGGTGCTTGTCATGTGCCCCATTATCTGGGGCATATCTTTCAAGGTCTTTTAGGGCAGTTGGCTGTACAGGACCTACTGACTATTTATTCTGGGAAGAGATATGAAAGTGTGAGTTTTTCACAGCTTTTGCTTCTTTTTTTCAACAGTTGAGTCAAAGGGGGAGTTTGGTTTGACCAAAGCACGTGGAGATAGTTCTTTTTGTGTGTGTACCAAAATGCTTTTACTTCCCCTCCCGTTTTCTAAATTTGCTTTTTACTGTTTCGGTTCCCCCCACCTCCCCACCCCCTAACTTTTTGCTTAGTGGCTTAGTTTTTTTGTTCAGTTTTGTTGCTACGCCACCCTATTATCTTAGTGTGCATTTATCCAGAGTTGATGCCTGTCCCCTAAACCCTAGCAGTGCCTACTTTTCTGTCATTTGTAGGAAAATGATAGAAATAATGCTGAGAGTGTGGTAGACAGGGTGGTAGTGGCGGCCAATATTTCATCGGAGATCTGTAAATGAATTCTAAGATAATTCCTTGTGAGTTTTCTTACCCCCGCCCTCCTTTATATTCTTAGTAATATGCCTTGTGAAATCAATATTCGGTGAGTGTCAAGACAGATTTGTTACATTGCCTTTCTGGCCTGTTTATACACTGTCAGGAAAGTGGTGTTTGCTCTTTTTGCTCAAAGTTCTGAGGCTTTTATTTTATTTATTTATTTGACAGAGAGAGCACAAGTAGGGGGAGCTGCAGGAGGAGAGGAGGAAGCTGACTCCTCACTGAGCAGGGAGCCTGACCTGGGGCCCTATCCCAGGACGATGGGATCATGACCTGAGCCGAAGGCAGATGCTTAACCGACTGAGCCACCCAGATGCCCCAGTTCTGAGCCTTTTCAAGCTACCAAGCCAGGCAGGGTCTCTGGCCCCAGTTCCTCTGTAGCAGCTTCTCTCTTCACACTTGGATTCTGGCCATAGGTGCCCCACTTTTAGTTTCCAGAGCAGGCCGAGCCTTCTTACCCATTAGTCTCTACCTGCAATTCTCTGGAGCCCCTTTCACTGCACCAGCCCTGTAGCTGCCTTCTACTCATTCTTCAGCTCTCCACGCAAAGGTGTCTGCCTCTAAGAGGCCTTCCCTGATGCTCCAACACAGACTGGATGGCCCCAGCCCGGGGAAGTTTCAGAAGTCCACACAGCACCTCATTTTCTATAATGCAGTGGCCATTTTCCTTGTTACTGTTCTCCAGTAAATGAAATGCCTTGAGAGAGCCCTTGCTGTCTTTCTCTTTCATTTCCCAGCGTCTGCTGTGGTGCCTCGCATAGGGTAGAAACTCCATAAAGATTGTCACATCTAGTGTAGATCTAGTTCTTACCAGATCGCCCTGGCAGTGTGAGCCCAAGCATGGGAAAATGAAAACTGGATAGAGTCAATGGTGATTCATACTGGGACTGTAATTCTGGCCCTGACCTTTGACTCTGTTTGAAAATCTTTATTGCTTGATGCCAGTGGAAGCCGAGGCTATTACAGAGCTATGAAGGGTGTGGCAGTTACGCTTCCCAAATCAAAACTTTTTCTGGGGGAGCTTTTGGTTCAGTGCTGTCGATTTCCTCGACACATTTGTATTTCTTCCACTCAAGTCATTGTAAAAGCCTCGGGAGGGAACACGGAGGCAGGAGAGAGCCTAGAATTGTGATTGTGTGTTATCGTGCTATTGGTAGACATCAGAAGCAGGATTCTGGGTGCATTCAACACAAGAGGAAGGCTAGAAGGCAAAGAAGGTCCCCTGCACCCACGAGTGAAGTCATGTGTGTGAATGGCATGCCCATCCTGTGTGTTATCCATTCATAGAGCATTGCAAGGCCACGTTCTCGTCCCAAGATCAAGGACCTTGTGAGCAACCCCACAGTGAGGTTCCGTGGGACGAACATGGGGGAGAAGCAGGAATGGCTGGAAGGAGGGAGTCCTCATGATGCGATGTATTTCCAATGGGAGGATGAATGTGTTTCAGCAGACGTTTTGTGTATCACAGGCACCACGCTAATGCGGTGGTCTCATGACAGGGGTGTCCCAGAGAAGAGAATTAGGATGGTTGATTGATTCATCAAGGGGCACTTGTTGAGCCCACACTGTGTGCCACTGTTCAAGGTATTAAAGATTCAAAAGTGAACACAACCCAGTTTCTGCCCTGAAGGGGCTCAATAGATTTGTGGAAGAGATAGACAAACAAGAAATAATTATAGACCATGAGATAAGTGCTTAGAGAGGGATCGCTAATACAGTGAGCAACACTCCACTCTCAGTGGATGGAGAGAGGTACCAAATCCAAACCAGCAAACCAGGAGAAAATTGGAGCAGAGCCTTTCCCCCCATCTGTAAGCACTTCTTTCAACTTTCTCTCCTATTGATTAGGTCTCCTTTGCTTGTAAGAGAACCCAACCCGAATTGCCTTAAGCCAAGATGGGAATTTCATTAGCTCGTATGTGACCCACAGAGTCCAAAAGGGAGTATGGCTGCAGCCAGGGCTAGATCCAGGGGTTCCACTCTCTAGATAGGCTGTGTCCACAAGGGGACATCCCCGCCCCCACCCAGTTGTCCCTCCTCCTCAGTTCAAGTCCCAGAGGGACAGAGACTACTTTTCACTGTGGCCAGAGCCCCAGGATTGACTCTGAATGTGTCCAGCTGGGTCCCATGCCTTGCCCTGGAAATGGGAATGGAGTCAGCCCCACCTAAACCACAGGGACTGGGAATGGGGGGGACTGCTGGCCCCCCAGAGAACACTGGGTGCTGTTACCAGCAGGAGGTGAGAAGGAGTGCTGGTCAGGATACAGTAAGTAGCATGTCCTGTCTTTTGTAGTCCTGCTCTAAAAAGAAAGATGTATTTTGAAAATCCCCAGTGCAGACAGATAATCCATCAGATGCAGGTGGTTCTTTTGGGGGAGGTGATAGCCTCAGTGGAGGAAGGTGTATACCGAGGTGAGAGAACCCAGAGACGTTGAGTTTGCGAGGTAGAAGTGTCAAGGAGCAAAAGAATCTGAGCCACCACCTGGGAGAGTTGATGACCTAGGTGAGGCTCTGGACGGGAGTGTCTCTTCCGGTGTCGGTTTGTGCCAAGGTCGGAGGACTACTCCCTGCAGGTCCGAATGCTTTCCTAGATAGTAGCCTCTAGAGAAGTCAAGGCTGCGGGCTACTGACAGCAGAGTGACGAACAGT